TTACATGTAGACACTGTTATCTTTTTTCATTTAATTATTTGCAAGCTTATTCTTATGCAGTAACCCACTGGATCTGGGTTATGTGACCATCAGTTCATGAAAAAATTTAGATGACAGTCAAGTGACAGGAATATGCAATCATGAAAAAATTTGGCTGAGGGCCGAGTTGACTGGTATGTGCTGTCAAGAAAATTTAGGCTGATGGCTGGAGTGTGAGAGGAATAATTTGTCATGAGTTCACAAAGCTCTAGGAGGAAGATAAGACTCAGTAGACTTAGAGGCCAATGAAATAAACCTACTTCCCAGATATTGGTCCACATGTGGTCTGTGAGGCACCAGGATACAATGAGTTAAAGATAGATTATTTTCCTTTAGCAATGAATAATTATTAGGGAGGAAAAACACAGATTTAGCTTGTAATCTTACTGACACATTTATGTTTTTCCTATTGCCCATTTTGGCTTCATCCATTCAACATCACGACATTCATTCACTATTGTTTAAATTTCTTTATTTTATTAAAATTCCAGGAGTCGTCGCACTCAGTCAGAAGCTCAAAAACTGAAACAGATCCAAGTAGAGTTGGCTAAGTTGGACTCTCTTCTCTCAACTGACGTTTCTATACTACGAGACCAAATAGAAGTGGCCAGTTTGGAATTCAGTGAAGCGCAGTGAGTTTTATTGTTTATGTGTGTGTGTGTATGTGTGTGTGTGTGTGTGTGTGTGTGTGTGTGTGTGTGTGGTGTGTGTGTGTGTGTGTGTGTGTGTGTGTGTGTGTGTGTGTGTGTGTGTGTGTGTGTGTGTGTGTGTGTGTGTGTGTGTGTGTGTGTGTGTGTGTGTGTGTGTTGTATGTGTGTGTGCATCTGTGCATGTGTGGGTATGTTTTGGTGGTGGAATGGTGGATGGGTGGGTGGATGGGTGGTGGGTGGTGGATGGTTGTGTGTGTGTGGGTGTGGGTGTGTGTGCACACGTGTGTGTGTGTGTGCGTGCACGCGTGTGTGTGTGCGAAAAAGGTATATACTTAATAGCATACATACTAATAAAGTGAAGATTTAAATAAAAAGATATGAAATTGAGCTGAGAGACTTTACACCTTTCAAATTTTTCTGAACACAAAAGCATATGAGGTACTTATTTTTTAACCAGTTCCTTGAAGCCAATAAAGACTTCAAAATATGATTTCGAAAATAACAAAGACACCCATTCATTGTATTTTCTTATCTCTCATCTTTCATTTTTCATGTTATTGTTTTTTTCCAAAGCTCTTATCTCCTATATTTTAATATTCTCATCTTATCATTCTTCCATCCTGTTTGTTCCATTTTTTATAAAAAGATTTCCTTTCCCTTACTTTTCAATATTTCCGAGGTTGTATTTGCACATTTCTCTACCTTTTTCATCTTTGTCTTTCAAATTTCTTTCACTGCTATCATTTATTCCGCCATCTCTTATCCCCTCTCCCGTTTCCACAATTACAGGAAGAGATATGACAAAGCTGAGCGAGAATTCATCGAGGCCAAGCTCCAGCTGTTCAACAAGCTGGAGAAGAAGGAACTACTGACGGAACACCTTTGCCGCATTATCGAGGCCAATGAGCAGAGGAAGGCCAACAAACTCTCCGAGCTCATGGCTAAGCTGGAGATGGTTGATGTGTCTGCCGAGTTGCCCGAGCCCAGTCCTGGAGAGGTATCAGAGGAAAAGATGACTAACAGATAGCTAGTGATTGAATGCTTGTAGAAAAAAGTATTTTGAATTGTTATTTGTGTCCTTTTTTCTCTCTATTTCTCTATCTCTCCCCTCCCTTTGTCTGCTTTTACTTTAAACAGTTTGTTATAGCTTTCATTTCTGCCATTTCTAATTAAAAAATGACAACTTTTAAATACTGTATATAGTTAGGATGTATTTTCTACTTCTCTGACTTTGCTTGTTTTTTTGCTATTTCTGTTGGTTCTCTCTGTCCATGCATTTATATATGATACATTTGTTTTTAATTTTCTGTCAATTTGGTGTTTTTTAAATGTTCTTTGAGTGACAAAATATGTGAAGTGATTAAAATGATAAAGATTTAAAATATATATGCCTTGTGATATATGTAGATACTTAACATGTTTTTTGTTTTTGTTTTTTGTTTTTTGTTTTTTGTTTTTTGCATTGTGCTTCTTGGAAAAAAACTTACTGTCATCATGTTATTAAAGAATCTTTCTCTTTCTTGTTTTTCCTCATTTTCTTTCATCTCTCTTTATGCTTTCATTGCTTTGCTCTAAACAAGTTTGCTGAGGATGATACATGGTGAGTCGTGCAGCCAATGCTTTTCATGCATGTCCCTCTATGCCAATGACAGTGCTTACACAGAAGTTTTCTCTCTTGGTGTTTGAATTTGTTTTGAAGATTTTAATCTTTATAAGCTGTTTATTTAAAAGATCTCTATTTACTTTTATTTTCCCTCAGAAAATTGTCTTATCTAGGGAAATATTTCAGGTTCTGCCACAACTAGCCAGCCTGGATGAGATCACATACACCGCCTGCACAACCTTGAAAGACCCAAAGAAAACCGCACTTACAATACAGCAGATTCAGGCAAAGAACAAGGGAGACATCCCAAAACCCACTCTAAAAGAGGAACCACAGAATGAGAAAGGTAGGAAGGATATGGATGATAAACAGGAGACACAAGAGAGTGTTGGGAAAAAAGAAAATGAGACTGTACAGGAAAACAAAGTTGATTCTCCAAGGGAAGATGATGGAGGTCTGAAAGAAAACAGTACCGAGAGAACAAGAGAAACGAATGAAAGTCAGGTGCAAAATCAAGCGGAAAGTGAAAAAGGCTCTTCAGCTGGTGAGAGCAGTAACGTAGAAAGTTCTGAGAAAGACATTGATGAAAAGGAGATAAAAAAGGAAGGAGAAGAACACACAGAAAAAGGGATGGTAGAGGAGGCTGAGAAGTGCCCCAAGGATGAACAAGAAGCATCTAGTCTACAGAGCATCCCCAAAGGAGTTGGTGTCAAGGGAGAAACCTGAGCAACGAAAGAGGCCTTTTCATGAGTTTTTTCCTCTTTTTTTTCTTTTCTTTTCTTTTTTCATGTCAGTCAGTGTAGTAGGCTCCTTGCTGCTTGATCCACACATCATTGATCAAATTTCTTAAGTTGTGGAGTTGAGTGTTATTAATATTGTCAGTGTGATGACAAGTGCAATATTGATTAAAATGTCTTCCTTGCAAATCAGGCACTTAGCGGTTGTGGCGTAGGTAATGCCAGTATATCCCTCTGATTTCCCATCAAAGTCATGCAAAAAATATGCTTCCTTTTGCCATAGTCACTTCTTGCATTGCTGCCATTTCATGTCCATACATGTTCTGTTCTTTCCATGCAATAAAAATCCACTGCATGTAAACTCTTGCTGGCATGAGATGATTGCCTGATCCCAATGCTCATTTCAATCAGACACTCACAGACTTCAGCTTTATTAAGATTAGGGTCTTCTCCATGACAGATTGTAATGGTCAGATGTACTCAACTATTAGTTGTAATGTATTCATGTGGGCTATGAATGTGTCAGTGTATTATTTGAATTATTTGTGCCTGATGCTTTAATGTAGATGTTACTTGTACTATGGTACATTGAGATTTGAAGTCAGTTGTTATACAGTATATGGATGATGCCAATCAACACTATAAACACAAGTATGATGCTCAAGTTTTCTCACAAGGAGGTTATGTTCAACTGTTGCTCTATGCACTTAAAAAAAGCTTAACTGGAACATCATCTGATTTATCCTAACTAGACAAAGCTATATTTTTGAACAGCAAATTAAATATTTTTTAAATACTCCTTTCTTTCTGATTTTTTACAGAAATGGTTTAGTTGTCATTTTTTCCCCCTTAATTTAATTGGAAAATTATTTTGATTTGAAGAAAGTTACTAACACAGAGTCTGCATCAGTCAGAAAACCTTGTGCATTCAGATTAATTTGTAAAAAAGTAGTAGAATAATAAACACAAATTCCCATACTCAAGCTTCACAAATTGCACAAGGGAGGAATTCTTGAAAATACCCTCTTTAGCTTGTAGAGCAAGTCTTTTTTTCTATAATTGGCAGAAAAGTATTATTTAGAAAGAATAACCATCTCTATAGGTTTTCCTAGTATTATATTTTGCATGACAGAATATCTGAAGACATCTTACTGGGACACATAAGAACTGAACAACTAGAAAAGTTTGGTTTGAAGTTGGGTGTATTGTAGGAGTCCTCTTTCAGTTCTGTGAGCTGATATTCTATTTTATTGATGTGAAAAATGTTAACCTGCTTGTAATTTTCATGTTAAGTATAGGTTAACATCTGTTCCATTCGTTAATGGTAGTTAGGAAAATTACCTTGTTAGAAATGGCTCAGACTCTTTTATAAGTACAAATTAAAGGAGATAGTCTTATTTATTTATTATGTGCTAAATGTTAATGAGATCCTCATGTTCAAAATATAATATTTGTTGTTAATACTTTTATTCTTTTTTTAATTATTGTTATTATTATTTTATTATTATTGTTATTTTATTATCATTATAATAATAATAATTATTATTATTATTATTGTTATTATTATTATTATTATTGTTATTATTATTATTATTATTATTATTATTATTATCATAATAATCATTATTATTGCATATGATTATTCATTATTAATCATTGAAACTGCTGCTATTGCCATTTATGTACAGCAAACAAGAAACGAAATTCAGCCATCTTAGAAACAGTAAATTCTTCTCCTCCTCATCCTCGTCCTCCACTTCTGCCGCCTCTTCCCCCTCCTCTTCCACCTGATTAAGTAATAATAATCAAACAGCCGAGTGTTAGATATTTACCCTTGATATCTTGTTTCTCAACCCATCTGTTTACTGGAGAAAATGACATTTTCTCCATTTCAGAATTCATATGTTGTCCACTTTTGGCAACAGGAATCACATACCCAAAATGACCCAGATACTGTTTTGGACATCAGTT